AAAATCTGGAAAAACACGGAATTTGATCGAATTTCTGTATTGTGTAACATCAATCAATAAGGGAATTTGTTTGTAGGCGGCGTTTTGATTTTTGTTTTCCATGAATATTTCTTATAAATAAAGCGCATTTTTTACATTTTACCAACGACCGTCGCCGGCTAAAAATAAAATTTACGAAAATTTTTAATGAGGCGCGATCGAATTTTCCGTCTGGAAATTACCCCGGCAATCAATTTTAAATGACATATAGCGTATACATATATTAAATACGATATATATATATATGGCGTAGTGCGCGTACGTAGATCTACATCGGTAATTTTTTTCCACATGCGAAAATCTAACCATCGTTCGCTAATTTGCTTTAATTAAACTGGCCGGTCGACGTTATCCGACTGCAAAATTTCCGTGTTTATGTTGTGTCTGCCGCCGATTTATCTCTTAAAAATATCATCTTTAATCTAAACACCGCGTAAAAAACACTCGTAATAAACAAAACTACCGTCGCTCGACTTTTATTTTCGTGGATAAATTCTTACGCGTTATTAAAGTCCAACCTCTAAACGGTGACCATTTTCTTACGTTCCGTCGGTGGCCGTTGTTGGCGGGTTCGACCGTATATTAAAGCATTATTTACATCGTTTTTTTTTTCAAAATTTATATTCTTTTTAATGTAAATTTAATGCTACTTAAAGCGACTTTTAATAACGAGGTTGATTTTTTTTAAGTTTTACAACATTAAGGTCAGTTGTAAGGCTTTTTTTTAATTTTAAAAGATTAAAACACAATTTAAGGCCTTTATACGGCATCTGTTTTTAAATTTTAGAAGAATCGAATAAAATTTAAGATGGCGCGACGATTTTGAAAAATGTTTAAGGCGCAATTGGCCTGTTTCTCAGTAAAAAACGAAGAGCGTAGTTTAAAGCGAAGGGGAATATTTTTTGAAATAAAAAGTCATCCGGCGTGACGTTTATTGTTATTGAAGCGTTCAATTTTCAGTTAATTTAGTCAAAGATGCGTTTCCCGCTGTCAAAAGAAGTCTCGATAAACCAACTAAATCGACATCCACGCTAATAAATCTGCCACGTCGATTATAAAAATTAAACGCGACTTTTTAAAAATAAATATTTATTAGTTTATTTTTCTTTAAAGAGTAAAAGAATTTAATAAATATTCTCTCCGTTTCGTAACGATCCACAAGTGTGCGACTCGATCGAATGGAAAACTCGGCTACGGACTAATTGACGCCCGTGTGACGTCGCGGAAAGCGTTATTTTAATTGGTCGGACGCCGGAATACGTCACGGATGTTTAATAATTTAAACGAACACACAATTTGAGGACGAACTAATCGTTATTAATATTATATTATGTTAATTATTGCGCAAATTATTCTCGTTATTAATATTACCGAAATATTGTGGCGGCATCGGTAAACGCGAAATTAAGATTTATCGAAATAAGTTTAAAAATTAACCGGAACGTTATTTAATTTCTTAATTAAATTTCGTTGGAAAAACAAAATGACGATTCTTTCCGCACATTTGCCTTTTAAAAAGAAAATTATATTCGAGTCGCTTTAAACGTGTTTATGGATTTTCGTAGATGGCGCGATAATCGAGACTTAAATTTTTCTTTTCGACACAAAATTACGAAATCCTTCCGTTTTTTTTTTTATTTGAATGCGATAATAAAAATAAACGTCTAAAATTTCAAACGGATACGCGATGTTTAAATTGTTATAACTCTTTCTCAAAAATATTCCTTTTATATACGCGTGTGTATAAGTTGGCATAAAACAATGTTTCCGTATCACCATTTTAAAAATAGCAAACAATTACAGAACCGAATCGTCAGCTGTTTCTGGAGTGAGATGCGGCATAAAAAATTTCATCCCTTTTTATTCGCAAAAGAAACGCGAACGAAATTAAACGGTTTAATTTAAAACGTAATAATAAATAATTAAATTTTGTTTAAAAATTTAATAAGCATTTAAATCAATTTCGTAATCAAAATTTTTTTGTTTATAATTTCCCTCGGCAGATGGCGCCAGCTAACTTCCAATATTAGCGGTTTTAAAACGTTAAATTAAAATTCTCTATAAACCATTTATCTTTTCCCCCCCTCTTTTTTATTTTTTAAAATTTTTTCCGAGTAAAAATTCCAGCAGGAAATTTCCCGCATTTATTTTTAATTAGTCTTTCACGAAATACCGATTTTCGTGTAATTAATCCGCTAACTTTAATTACTATCGACAGAAACAGCTATAAATAAAGGAAGTTATACAAGTTTTCGTTTCTCCAAATCAAAGAAATGTTAGTAAATTAAATATATAATTATTACTACAAAAAAGTCTCGCTTAATTTGAATAATTAGACGAGTACATTTTTTTTACATTAAAAAAGCGTACGCCCGTCTATTAATGCCGCTTTAAAAAAATCGTCTTAAATTACGGAATTTCAAAATTTTTTCCGAGACAATCTAACCAGAGTTTGTTTTTGCTTAATCACAAAGTCGTCCGACATTTATATATTTAATTTCGTAATCGATGACGTCGCTACCCGAGGCACGTGATCGATTTATAAGAAAGATAGACCAATTACGTTTAATCGGGTCAGTGGACTAACTTAAACTTCCCAGTGTTGCCGGAAACTGTCGGTTCGATAACGAAAATAGCAACCGACTAAAACTACAAACGTTACTAATTACGGTTACATAGTCACATACCATTTTCTAGACGTAATTTTGGAAGCGAATAGCTTCTTTGACGTAACGAAGTACGTCGTCCAGAAATAGCGAAAAAAAATAAATAAATAAAGATTCCTTCCGCTTGGCCACGGTGGCGCCATCTAAGAAAGGCAAATCCTCAAAATTAAAAATTCCTTTTTAAATTTTCTTAAAATTACGTTTATAATAACAAATTGGCTTTATTTTAATGAAATTAAAAATAAAGTCTGCGTGAACTTCTTAAATGTATAAATTTAAATCTAATTAAAACACTTCGACAGTCGCCAGTCCGACAAACACGTGGTACACGCGTACGGCATTTCCTTATTTAGCAGTGTCACCATTCGCTGGCGATAAATCTCGTCACTGTATTATGTAAAGATTATCGTACTCGATCCTCCCCTATACTGAGATTTTATTGTAAATTTCTGATAACAGAATGCCTCCATTATCGATATCGACTCACCCTTTGTCAACAATAGTTGGAATTACAGCCTGCAAAATGTTAACTTTAGTATGGGGGAGGAAAAAATAAAATAACGCCCAAACCGTGACCAAAATTTATCGTCGGGAAATCTAATTATCTCGCAACTATTGTTAAGAATCGACACCTTTATTTGACATTAAATATACTCGTAAAGATAAATGCACCTTTATCTTGTTATTCTCAACGAGTTAGGTGTATTTCACACACCCATTTGTAGAAATATTGCAATCTTCGAGTTTTAAGAAATTGCTTGCGATCTAAGACGCAACTTAAATATTTACAATTTTGAAACGGTGCATGCTTCGTTATATTATGTCGGTATTAAACGCGTACGTAATTTGATGATTTGCCAACATCTTGTGTCCTTTGTATTGCAGAATTCGATCAATTTGCTTACTAATGCATTCGAGTTTGTTAGTTATAGAAGAGAACTCGTCAGTGTTTATAGGTGCCAAATTTATAGTTATATTTTCTTCTCCTTAATACGTTAAAGAAAAAGGGCAGTAGGTGTGGAATGACTTTTTGACGAGCACGATCGTCCTAAAAGGCCCGATACGCACTACTCGACTGCTTACGAAATTTTATCGTTTTGTACCCTTAGAGTTAAATGGGTACATTGTACGCAACTGATATTTGATTGGACCGTGGATGAACTTAATAGTTCGGATTGAGTCTAATTAATACTCCAAAAATGAAGCATCTTTAAGATGCTAAAAATCTGACACCTTCACTATTTTTCTACTTAACTGTTGAGAAAACTACTTTTTTTTTGCTATTTTATATAGTAATCCTGTTTGATAATTAAAAGCCACTTTCTCCTTTTTTTTTTGTGTGTCTGTATATAGATTCTGGAGAAGTGAAAAAAGTAGCCTCAAAATTACTATACAATATTTTAAACTTTCAAAAATTCAAAAAGACTTTTTGAATTTTTGAAAGTAATAGTAATATCTTTAAATTGCTATTGTTAACAATTTGGAAAATTACAAGAATTAAAGATTATTCAACATTAATTTGGATTAAATACAATATGTAATGACGACACTTGCTTTTAGTTTATTGATTTCTTCCTACAATACCTGACAACTTCAATCTAAACATGAATGTTTGTTAAATATGTTTTCAGTAATATTATCCTACTTACAAACTTCTGCCTTCTTGATTTTAAGGAACAGTTATATATATTAAATTCAAAATATAATAATATAATTTGAATTTTTATTATAAAAAAATACAAAATTTATATATATAACTGTATATATATTTCCTTGAAAGGTTTACTATATCTGAAATATTTTTGCCAATTTCTGAATTTGCTATGAAGTTATGAGGCCAAAATGTAGTTTGGATTTTTAACGTATATCATGTTAAATTATTATAGCTATTATAAAGCAATATTAACCTCAATTACTGTATGACATGAACTGTTTGAGAAGAAGCAAACTTCTTAAAGAAAAATTAAATGGCATGTTCAAAAGGACACACTAATTAAAAACAAAAACTCTTCAAAAGTGAAATATTTTAGATATTATATGTTAAAATTCTTCACAGAAAGCTACACCCATTTGGTTAATTAAGGTTCTTAAACTAATTAAGCTTAAGAATCATCTTCTGAATATATTGTGTATCATGAAATTGCACAATTTCCAAGCTTCCTCTTCCTCATGTTATATGAAGATTTTGCAGGAAAGTATAAGCATTTAACAAAAGGGGTACAGGTACAGGATTCTACAGACAAAAAAAAAAAAATGTTGATATGCATAACCTGCCATTTTATATATCATTTTCTTTTCTGGTTACATTTGCATTTAAAACAACACTCTCAAATAATAACAGTACATTGTGTATGAGAATTTTACTCCTTTTCGTTGAGCACCAACAATTTCCTGCAAGTCAAAAGGAGCACACTGTGGATTTCAGACTTTATGTATATTAAACAAATTAAAGTTATAACTATTAATTTATTTTTATTATTTAGTTATTTAATATATACGTAATTAATATTCTTTACATAACGAATCATTACAAAATGATATAAAAAGATGAAATTGAACTATCAAAATTAGTTGGGGAAACCCTTAGTAAATATACAATATTTCAAAAGTAAAGATATTTTATTGCAAAGGCACTATAATGATGTTTAATATTTATTAAAAATAACCTTCTACATTAACATTGACATTTCATTCATAGTAAAAACATATTTTTGAATAAAAATGAATTTAAGTTTAATTATATTTAATTAATTGAATATCAAACTCAGCTTTCTTTTAAAACACTTAACACCTTATAACGCTGAGAATATTTATTAAATTGCAAACATTTTCAGCCTAATGGAATAGGCCATCATCAGGTGACTGGCTACCAAACAAATTTGAAAATTTGAAAATTTGTTTGGTAGCCAGTCACCTGATGATGGCCTATTCCATTAGGCTGAAAATGTTTGCAATTTAATAAATATTCTCAGCGTTATAAGGTGTTAAGTGTTTTAATTATATTTGTTGACAAAAGATACTAAAGGCCACATGGGATGAGATCTGCCCATAATGAGGTCAGCTAGTACAAATGGGAACAAGAACACTGACTCAAACTATTTACAAAAAATTAAGAGGATCAATATTAGATTCAGGTCCAGATTTCATGCAGCTATAGTCCAAAAAGGCACCTGTTTGACTTGATAATAATAAGTGAAATGGTATTAAATAATTTTGTTACTGAATAAATTCATTATATCCAAAAATATTTTTAAAAATAATACTTTGTTTTCATTATAAACAGAATGGTACAAATTAAGATCAATGTTTATCAATAAAAATTTGAAAATGGTTTAATAAACAACTCAAAATTTTTCAATACACCTAGTTTCCTGTTTATTAGAAATAATTTAAAAAATTGAAATTAACTAACTACAATTAATGAAAAATAATATAAACACAATATTATTAAATAAAATTAATTTACACATTTGAGAACTTGAATGGAATATTTTTAAGTTTTAAAATATACCAAATAATTTGGTGTTTCTGTGTATTTTTCAACAAACTGTCTTCCGTCAATGGTTGGATCCAAAAATGCAATATCATCCACATTTAATAAATATCCATATATAAAATTGCATCTAGAATGTAATAAAAACAAATTAATTATAAATTATAACTGATTTATGTCTATATGAAGTAAATATATTAAATTTGGTAGTAAACAATTTTAATTTCCCTACAAAATCTAACAATATTCTAATAAGGAAGACTCATTAATGCTGAATGAGAAAATTAGATTTGTAATCAATAATTATTCTCACTATTTATTGATTATAACATAGACCATGGCTAGCCTAACCTTGTCATGATAGAATATCTATCAGAAATATGAGAGCCACATTGCCTATTGAAATTGTAATTTACATAATGAGATATTATAATTAAATATATGGGAATACATAATTAAAGATACAGGAGCCCAGTAAGGGTATAGAAGAGCTGTTAGCTACCATAGGTATATGTACAAACTGATTATACAGTATTAACAATGTTGTATGCTAAGTTATATGATGTTTTTAAATTATTTCTGTGTTAAGAGCAATGCAACTTGAATTGCAGACAAAACAAATAATCTGATTAGTTTACAAGGTTGTGGATTCAAATATGAGCTGTTGATTTTGAAAGTGGGGCAAGTCCATTTTGTGAAAAAAATAGTTAAAGCTAATTCTTATTACCAATCAATATAAAATTTGTTTTTTCACAATAAATATCTTTTAATATCAGTATAAATTTGTTACTAGTAATTTATATCATCAACAATATTTACAGTGAGTTGATTTTGAAAGTGAGGCAAGTCCACGCTAAAGAAAAATATGAAGATATGATGGATTTATTTCCCTACATACCGTATCACCCATTTATCATGAATACTTGAAAAATCTGTACCATCTAAACCAATGATTCCCAAAGTGGTCTATATTGACCCTCAGGGGTCGACTCCGAACTGCAAGGGGTCCATGTCAGCGAAAACAAAAATTGGAGGTGCATGAGATGTAAATGGGGGTCTAAGAGAATGGATCCCATTTAAGCAGGTTGTGACCGAAATTTTGGCTTTCCATAAATGGAATAATTCACATAACACAGATAATACCTATGTACTGTACTTAAATAATACTTTTTTACAATAGACATATAAATTACCTATAAAGTAAAAATTTTTAAAACATAAATGTTTATGAAACATGATGAAGATTTGGAGAACTTTATGACTCCATGCTTTAATCATGGGGAAATTCGAGAGTGATGATGGGATCATTCTCAGTTGACGGGTCAAACCAACAACTTATTGCTTTGAATTTTAATTAATGCTAATTGTTAGAATATTCTCTTGAGTTCAATCAACTTATTTTGTTTTATTTATAAAATTATTGTTATACTTTTGTTATTGAAATTTAAGTTATTATCTAAATATATAAAATTACTTGTCCTGACTGACTGAGTGATTGATTCAGAACAAACTGCTGAACCTAAAGAGGAGAAACTTTGTACACAAAAGTTTAGGGTTCATCATGAAAATGCACACTAAGAAAAGAAGAGATTTTTGGAAATTCCCCCCGCAGGGGAGAGGGAGAGGATTAAGGCTTAACCTGAAGAACAGCTTCTACTGTACTATTTTAGACGCAATTTATTGTTTTCAACAACATTTAGTCTTCACCGAGTACTTAGGTGTATTAAATTGATAACATTTCAGACATTGTTATAAATATTTTTATATATTTCGATTTTTTAACCAAATGTTTGAACCGTTTTAAATTCAAATTTATTATTGCATATTGGTTCTATTATAGAACAATTGTAAACATTTAAGAAAANTCAATTTAATCATTTGTTTTTGTTTTGTGTTTTTTTATACCATAAAACTTCCATAGGCACTGGCTTAATTACCTCGTATCTGGCCTAAATATTCAATTTTAATTATAAAAAAAGTAGTTTTTAGATAATTAACCTTACAGCCCGGCCCGAAAATCGGTTAACCGAGTTTAGAACCATCTAATTTGCTAGGGTTATCCGACTTCTGGGCCAAACTGTAATTTAATTAACCTTTACGTGTACGTATATATATAACTTGTTATCTTTTATCCTACGATAATAAATGAATATCTGAACACGTGATGAATTTATATAATGGCGAGGTGAAGTATAAAGTGCGTTGTGACGAAATAAACTAACTGAAAAAATCGAGTTTATATTTTGGAGAACTGACAGACAGATAAACGAGACTCGAATTTCAATGAGAAAATATATTTTATGCTCTCGGTTTATTGTTTTAATATTTTTCGAGAACTCGGTTTGATAAATTTACGAAAATTCCGATAAATTTCGGGTGTTTACGGGTTAAAAAATTGGAGAAAGCACTCTTAAAATGCGTTATATATAAGTCGCCACCAAGCGTGGATGATAAGGTAACGAATCTCATCGGTAAGAATTCAAAGAAGAAAAAAAATGTATCTAAATATTTAATTATAAACTAAAATACCACAGGCAAAATTTCATAAAGGGCTATGGAGTTGTGCGAAAATGGAGGTTTTAAATAAATTTAAATAGGCAAACGCCAATCCCGAATAGATCCCGTGTATATAATAATGTTGCCGATACGATAAAGATGACAGAAACCGGATTTACACCAGATAAATGCAAAACTACATACATTTTAAATTACTATTAGAGGAAAGGCCCCTTATATAAATCCGTGGCTTAATTTAATTTAAAGGCTTGGCTCTTTCACCGTCATTCGAATAAGCAAAACTCAAAGTCTACTTAAAAAAATGAAAATATAGTAGAACCCGCGCCAGCCGTTTTGCCAGGTTTCCGTTTAATTTAGCTTCCGTTTTACACAGATTTTTACCGTATAAATTAAAACGTAGTATAATTAATAAACGAGAACATTTATCAAAAAATAATTTTAATTTATCCGCAAATTAAGATTGCTTAATTCAAAAAGAAAAAATGAATAGGAATAATTAAGAGGAAGAAAAATATATTTTATTAACTGAGAAAATATGGCACAAGTGAAAATAAAAGTAAGAAAGCCGCCATTTTGAAAAAACAGAAATATGTTTACGTACGAGAATGAATCGTTTTTGATTCGTTTATAAATAATTAAATTAAAAATAAATAAAAANATATATTTCGATTTTTTAACCAAATGTTTGAACCGTTTTAAATTCAAATTTATTATTGCATATTGGTTCTATTATAGAACAATTGTAAACATTCCAGAAAATTGATTAAATTGAAAACAGTTTGTTTGATTCTCAGCGATAAGTGTTATATAACGATTACTATGGTTGTTGGAATACTGAATATAAATGGTGTTTGCTTGCAAAATCTGCACGGGTGAAGTTGCAGGTAACAGCTAGTTTTCTTACATATCAAACTGTTTAAGAATTATTATAAATTTCATAGTAAACAACTATTTTATTTACTACACTCAATTACATATTAATTAAGTATATTTCATAAAACTGTGCAAGTAGGCTATTCACTTTGTGGTCGCAACACCTGTAACTTGTAAAAACTCGTACATTTGATATAAGTATCAATGTGTTGCATGCATATGTGAAGTAGCCATGTTTGTCCATACTTAGTACCAGAGCTTTGCAAGGATGGCGCAGACTCATACCAATTGTACTTGTACAGACTTGTTTAATTTGTCAATTATAAATACGAATGTCAGAGACAAACACAATTCATTTTATTTCGGAATTTTGAAAAGAAAAGTGTTAAGCAAATATTTTTTAAAATATAAATAAGTAGTTAGGTACATACAAGTTAAAGCAAATCAATGTCATCTTGTTTGGGAGTGCCAGAGAAAAGTAAGTAAATTTTTTATAATTTTTTTTTTGTAGTTCCTCTGATTGCATAGATATGCTGATCATAACTTGAGGTAATAGTAGTTCAATATTCAAGTCAACCACAATTACACAAGTATTCCTTAATAGTTTCCCACACAAAGTTTTAGCAATCGGTATTATGTATTTCTCTATCTTTAAAAACAAGATTCTATGGTACATGATTCCTTTCTATATACATACAAAAGATATCTAAAGATTAAATTAAAATAAGGTTTTACATCGGGAATCAATTTTGAGTGCTGTCTTATCATATTTAATTAAATAGTTTAATTTTTGTCCACAGATAACTGATACTAAACATAGCCAAATCTAAAAAGAAATGTAGACAGTATAGTGTTGATTATTTGAAATTTGGCTTCATTCCATCATTGTCGGACAAACGACTGCCTATGTGCCTTTTATACAACAAAGTTTTGAGCAATGACGCTATGAAATCATCTGAAAAGGTGTCACCCTGATAAAACAGGCAAACATTTGAAATACTTTCAAATACTCAAAGAAAAACTTCACAAGAGACCCACGATGGATAGTATGTTTGCTTCGACGTCACAAACAAACGATGATGGTTTGTGGGAGTCTTACAATATCTTGCTACTTATAGCAAAATCTGGAAAACCGCATACTATCGGGAAACAATTAATTTTTCTAGCCATTGAAGAGGTTTTAAGAACTGTTATACACAAACAAAATAATAAAAAAAATTCATTTGAGCAACAACACAGTTCAAAGACATATTGATGAAATGAGTTATGATATTAAAAACTTATTGTGTAATTATCTGCAAACAACCCATTTCTCTATAAAACTGGACGAGTCAACTTTACCTGGCAATGAAGCATTATTATTGGCATATGTTTGTTTTGTTATGGACAAAGAAATCCATGAAGAACTGCTCTTTGTGAGAACTTTGACAACAGACACCAAAGGCGAATCAAATATGTAATGTTTTGAGAGATTATTTCAGGAAAAAGCAATTCTTTTATCAAATATAATATCAGTGGCAGCAGATGAAGCACCGGCCATGTTTGGGCGCTATTGTGGATTATAAGCCATTTAAAACAAAATGTACCCAGGGTGTTTGCAATACACTGTGTCATCCATCGACAATATTTAGTTGCTAAAAATCTGAGTGGTAGTTTGCATCAATCTCTTCAATTTGTCATTAATGCAGTAAACAAAATTTGAAGTAACGCATTGAATACTAGGTTATTTGCACAGCTGCGTGAAGAAAATGATGAGAACTTTCATCAATTGCTTCTTCACACTGAAGTACGCTGTCTGTCAAAAGGCTTATGTTTGACAAGATTTTTTTTCACTTTCTGAGACAGTTTTAGATTTTTTGGATGATAAAGATCCAACTTTAAAAGAAAATTTAATTAAGTGGAAACCAGACATTGCTTATTTAACAGATTTGTTCACTAAATTTAATGAGTTAACTTGCTGTTACAAGGTGAGGGTCTAAATTTTATAAAAACAAAGTCCATCATTTCAGCTTTTCTTGTCAGAATTAAACTAATGAAGCAAATTATTGGACGGCACAAATTTTTCCAGTTTCCCAATTTGTTCCAAAAACAGCCAGGATGATGATGTTTCAACCTATATTCAACATTTAAATATGCTTCACACACACTTTGAAACTAGGTTTGAGGATGTTTTGACTATGGAAATACCACAGTGGCTTATCAATTCATACAGTGACATTGAAGAAATGGATGTCATATTACAAGAACTTACAAGATCAGAATAAGCACTAACGAAGAACTTAAAGTACAGTTCAGAAAGGGATATTGGCAATTTTGGCTTCAGAGAGACATTTATTACTTATCCTGCATTATAGACTATTGCGAGAAAGTTTTTGATAGCTTTTCCATCTTCATACTCATGGAAAAAGGTTTCAACACTGTTGCCAATCTTCTTACAAAAAAAGAAACAGATTAGAAATCACTGATTGAGGAGATTTAATTAAGGTTACAGCTCACTAAATTGAAGCCAAATATTGAAAATTTGCTATTAAAGCATCAAGCTCATTGCTCCCACTAAAAGCATTTCACATTTCAAATCTCTTGGAAGCTCACAATGTTTGAACAATTCGGAATGCGTGCGCATTAGGAAATTGAATTCAAATGCCTTCTAAAGAAGTTCAAAAGTTTAGAAACCAGTTTGCAACGGTTTGGAGAATGCCTGAAGAAGAGCCCAGAAGGGGCGTCGAAAACGTTTGCACTCGAGAAATAATTTTTTACTCCGGTTAACTGGTTTCAAGTAAGAGGTTTTATATTTCAACCCGGTGTATTAGGAAGTTAAATTTTACTCCTGCTAAAAAATACAGTAAAATATTATCATCACACTGTATTTGATCAAAAATGGATTGAATTACTTTCAAAATAAACTTGTTTGCAATATCATTAATCATCAGAACTTCCATTGTCAAAATATTATGGACCTTTAAACTATTTTGAATTTAGATTGTTTACAGATAAAAAGATCATATTAGATTTTATCTATTGTTATCATAACCTTCATTTCTTACAAAAGAGGAGGAAGAAAAAAAGACTTGCACCACTTTCAATATAAGCTCATATAAGCACTGAAAAATAGTTAACCTATGTAAATAACAGCATAATAAAACTTCAAGAATGAAATATGTTGTTGTTAATTTTTAATTTATCCTGCATCTCCTCGGACAGCTGTCCAATGTACTTCTGTCGTAGGAACAATATTTTCTCAATTCTCTGATCAAAATGTGATTAGGGCATTTAATTAAAATCCTATATTAATTCAATAATAATAAATTTAATCACAATCTCTGCTATGATCATTAGCAGAATTCAATACCTTATGGACACTGAATTACTTCTAGTTTTTTCATTGAATATTTATACTTAAAATAATTTGAAGAATGCCATTTTGGTTCATTTTCCAGGGCCAAAGAAAAATCATCTATTGCAATATCTGAAATTGGATACCAGTGACACAAGATTAAAAAAAAAAAAATGAAATAGTTGATTTAAAACTGACTGACCATATTTCCATATTAAAAATATGGAAATATATTTGTTTTCACAAGTGATTGTGACTTGTAAAGACAAATTTTGTATCTTCAATATATTATTTTTAATATGCTTTTAGATGGTATAGGATGATTAAGAACAAATAAAGGATTATAAAGAGAAGTCAAAAACAAACAATATGCTAAAGATATTACAGGAAGTTTCCAGACTTATGTGTAGAGTCAAAATCAATATATACCTTATAGAAATATGTCAATGATTAACTAATATGTATAAAAATTAATCTACTTTTATCCTACTAATCTAATATTCCACTGCAAAACTTTATATAAAAGTATCAAATATTTATATAAATATTTGATACTTTTGTTCATCGAAATATAAAATTCACTCAATCAAAATAGTATCATTTGAATTATTTAACTCCACTGAAATCTTGAATATAACCAAATAATTAGCTTGTTTTAATAAGTTTTTAGTGAAGACATGAATTATTTTTGGTTTAGAAATGATGTCATTTGTATAATAAGCATATTTCCAATATTTCCAAATTTATTACATAGAATTTACAGCTTAGTTATAACAGTTATATAATGAAAGGTATATATCTATACTAATATTATAAAGAGGTAATGTTTGTAAGTAAGTTTGTATGTAGCGGGTAATCTCCAAAACTACTCATCCAATTTCAAAAATTCTTTCACCAATATTTATAATGGAACTTCAGGGTGGACATAGGCTGTATATTATTCCGTTAAACATTTATATAAATTAAAAGATTAAGGTTAAGGCCTTTATGTCCAACAGATGGCGCTACAAGTAAGATGCCCTAAGTTTGTTTTTCTGTGAAAATGAACTAAAGCAGATCATCTTCTATCTATCTATATAAATAAAAATGTAATGTTCGTTTGTTCCTACCGATTCTTTTGAAATTTTCACATAATGCTGCATTCGAATACGCAGGTGTTTTTATATAATATACATGTCGAAATTCCCCCCACTGGGGGAAGATGGACAGGATTAAGGATTATTGTGAAGAACTTGGCTTCTATTATACTATTTTAGATGCGTTATTTGGGTTTTTGATTGCATTTTAATAGGATACGTCAAGAGAATGTACACTAAGAAGGGATTTTTCGAAAAATTACCCCCCACGTGGGAAGTGTTATATATTTATAATAGATACATTTTGAACCACAACATGGCAGGGTCTGCTAGTATTTCATATTTTAGATCTTACAATTAATAACCTATAACTATAAACAAGTTAAAAATGTCTATTACAAATTAAAGTTCTAACATTGATTAATTGTTAGAGTCAATGTACCTCAAACAATCAAGTATTCTTGTAGCAACTTTCTGCCGACGATACATTGGAGCAGTCCATAATCTACAGATTCCACATAAGGCTTGAACTGATTCAGATTCAGAATGAAGAATCTTCTTGGGTGACCCAATTTGACTAGGAACTGAAGACGGGATGACACGATGTGCCTAAATGAAAACAATTCAAACGTATTACACATTTTTATTTCAAAATCATTGAATAATTAAGAACAAACACAATAAATATTTGATTCTCTTCTCATTAATTTCAGACATTTAAAAATATCTTATCATTTGCAATTTATTATTACAAACAACAAAAACAAAATTATTTAATTTCACTCAAATAAATAAATAAATATATGTTACTGTGAAAGACAGATATCTGGCAAATGTAGAGATTCTCCAGTGAATGTCAGCATTAGCACAGTCGTTTTGTGTATGTATGAAATATTTGCTAAATATCATTATTTCTCACTTACACTGGCAAATGTCGACATTCAGCATGCACTGATGGTGAATGTTGAATAAAAATATTTTTTCTACATTAAGTCAAAAATGCAACATTTTAATATGTCAAAATAGGAGAAAGCTTAATTAACAGCACGTGTAAATAAACTGTTGAACTTAAAACGAACAGTACATTCTTAATCAGAAAAGAAAAATAATACACAATAGTAAACTTACATATAAATTATGTGATTAACATTATACAATCTTATTTATTGCAACAACTTAAACTGTTATGACACTTTGAATTTCACAAGAGTCCCTTGCTTTTACAACTGCATTTATTTGCGGAACACTTCTTTTTGCAATGACAATGTATATAGTCTTGCCCTCCACTTTTCAAATTATCTGCAGCTGCTTTTCTCAGCGATATTTCTTCAGAAGAAATCTCCTCCATGGAAAGTAACTTTTCTTTACAAATTACGAACTGATTACAGGTATAAAGCTGCTTGAGGGTACCTTTTTCGTTTGCTAATTTATAAAAGTCGGAGTCTTCTATTCCAACAACAACCGCCAACACATTTTGAACATCTGTACAGCCACGATCAACATTGGGGACTTGTATTCATACGGTATCACCAATTTGAGCAGGAGGAAATTTTCTTTTTGAGATTCATTTCATTGCTTGCAGTAGAAGATTCTCTTTCACGGCTGCTCTTTTTAAAGAAATAAATTTGTGTTGTACAGTCAGGGCTTAACATGAAGATGTGGTGGGTTGCAGCTCCTCTTCAATATTTTCCTTTGGAATATGGTATTCATTATGGCCACTGCTCAAATTTCCTTCAAAAGTACTAACAATTTCTTCGAGCTGTTCTTTGGTTTCAATATTTGCGATTTGTTCGCCACGCAAAGACGACAATGCTATGCCTCTTTTTGGTTTAATGCCAAACATGGCTTCATAATGACTTTGGCATATTCCTTCGTGATATGTAGTTGTCGGGATAAAAATTGTCTGGACATATGATTTCCCGCACTTTGCCAGTTTTGAACGAGCAATGGCAGTCGTCGTGGAAATGTGGATCAGGCAATGTCAGTAGCTTTGAAACTCGATCGCGGATTGGCTAGAAAACATCGTACGACCAGTTGATGTCCATTAGCGCTACTAATCGCTGATTGGTGGAATTACATTTGTCTCAATCCATATAAAAGGATTGAGATTTTAGTTTAGTTCGCCTAAGACACATCCAAGGAACTCAAGTTTGTTTAGCTTTGCCTAAGCTTGCCTAGAAGATTGTTTCATCTCGCTGTGTGGTAACTAACATTTGAAGGAACACGTCGCAAGGAGTCCTTTTCAACGGCCTGTTGTTGTGGTATAATTGACATTTGAACTTTGCTATATCTGAATTATTGTAATTGTTTTATTTTTGTAACGTCATAACTGTATGTAAGTTTTAAATTGTTAATATAAACATTTGTGATTTGTGAAACAAGTGGGTTTTTGAACTTGACTGTAGTGTTCTTTGCAAATTGTACAAAGGACAAACCATCTGACCATTTATTTGTACAGTAGAGTCCCGAAAACTTGGCACTCGATAACCCGGCAACACCCTGACAGGGCGAAAAAACCCCTAGTTAGTTTTCATTATAGACAGCTTTATGCCTCTTAAAGTATTTTTCTGAGGTCTGTCTTATCAGGTAAATTACTGTACACCATATATTCATTAATTTTCATTTTCATGTAGTAAAAGCTCTATGCCGTCATAAAGTACAGTATATACTTTTCCTTTGTTTAAGGGTATTTGGACAGTTTATTCTTAAGCAAACAATACATACAAGTACAGTACAGTATTTTCTGAGGAAACACTCGTATTTATTCTTTTTTAACCCCATTCTCTATAACCCGGCATTTTCACAAACTCGGCCACCCTTCAGTCCACATTAGGCCAAGTTTTCGGGACTCTACTGTATCATCATCGTTCATCCACGCAGTTAACATATTCTGTATATCCTGATTGTCCCCTTCAACTGAGCCTTGTGTTTGACTACGACAAGGCTTTCCATGAACTATCTTAACATCTCTCTACATAGCGCATAGTTCGGATATGACTTGATTACAGTATTCCATACCATTATCTGAATGCAATACAGCTGGGGCATCAAATGTTAAAAATATTTGAAGAAGTTGATATGCTACTTCTTCAGCTGTCTTAGTTTTCAAAGGTAGTAGCTGGACAAATTTCGTTAAATGATCTTGATACACCATTATGAACTTATATTCGCCATCCTTGTGTGACTAAAGGTCTATCAGATTGACTTGACATCTTGAGTTTAACTCCAAACTGACTATTGGTTTCACAACAATACCTTTTTTAGGTGCACTATGTTTCATTTGACATTGTTTACATAAATTTAAATACAACATTAAAACTTCATATGTAATATTTTTGTATTTAAGTTGCATTCTTTAAGCATATGTGTTCTTCCTCCATGGCCTGTTCTGCTGTGAGTTTCAGATAGTATACTAAACAATTGATTATTGGTAACATAATACTGTATATTTGTTTCTCCTGGTTTTAATGGTACAATTAATTTCTCTTCATCATTAATTTTTAAAATGTCAAAACATTTTAATCATCTGTAATCCAAAGGTGTCTGAACTTAGTTTTAGCAGAAATCACTTTAGAAAGTATTTTAGAGTACTTTTCTTGAGAAAAATAAAAACAATTTTCTTCTCGTTTACTTGCAATTAATGAATGTAATGTTTCAAAAAAAGTTCTTGGTTCACTGCAGTATCCATTCAATATAAATTAGGGTATTGGATAAAAACAAAATTTAAGAAAACATTGCACACACCAGCAAACCTTGCATAAGACTGACAAACAGCAGTGTTCCAGAGTATAACAAATAGATATCATGTGATTTCAATTGCAATAGAACAAAGGATTTGGCGACAGGCTGTTGCCTTTCTGTCGACATCGGCTTCTTGGGTGTCATTTCGACCTTCACCAAAGCTTATCTGTGCTTGTCGACATACACCGGCGATTGTTCAAATGTATAATAATATAACCAAATATTCGGTCTTTCACCAACCTAGTTTGTATGTTTCTAATTTNTTAATTTCATATTTACGTTCTTTTTGTGTTCGATTTTATTCTATGTTATGGTAACTGAAGAAGATCGTTAAGAAACGGTCGAAAACGTTATTATACTTGTATTATTAATTTTTATTAGCTGGATTATTAAAGGTGTGTTTTATTATTAATAAAAAGTTTAAGATCAACAATAAAATATATGGTAATTTAAGTTCATTAATTTATTGTTGCTATTTATTGTTCAGGTTTTTAAAGGCACAACAGCAACCAGGCACAGGAATTTAACATAAAAATTGTTGCACTTTGCTTTCATCAAAGTATCTGCCACAAGTTTTAATGATGACCACACAAACTTGTGGTATAAACTCCAACATTTTGTTGAGGTAAGTAGAAAGGAGGCTATGCCATGCAACTTGTATAGATGCCCAAAGCTGTTGGACATCATGATGTGACTTTTGTCAAATTTGTCTATCCACAAAGTCACAAAGCAGCAGGTGACTGTGGCATCCAGTCCATGAATTGTAGCATACTTACAGCACATAAGTTGGATGTTGCATAGGGATATTATTTTGTTAAAAGACAAAACAGCCTCCAACAAGACATTGACCAGAGGAACAGCATGGCAGAAAAATATTAGGTAACCAAAAAAGTTCTGTTGTTTTTTGTGAAACTACAAAGTTTAAAGAATGTTACACGCAATACACAATAGATGACACTAAAATTCCAGCAATATGTTAATCAAGATTTAATGCTGACTCACCTTATATAAAGAGACGTGGAAAGGTTATCTCTTAATATTATAAAAATTGACTTGAAGATGAGTACTCCAAACTCTGTAATTCGTGCTTGTATTTTGTATGAGTTTAAACTTGGAACAAGTGCTGTGCAAATGACTCAAAAAATATGCCAGGCTTTTGGACAATGTTCTGTTAGCACTCACACCACCCAAAGATGGTTTACAAAATTTTCTTCCGTCAATGAGTCGCTTAAAGATGCGCCATGAGAATGATGTTGAATTACAGGCTGCAATCAAAGAATATTCTGCTCAAACTTGTCAGATGTTAGCACAAAGGTTCTCCGTAAGTGATGAAACTGTTCGTTTACATTTGCATTGTCTTGGGAAAGTTTACAAGCTCAGTAAATGAATACTTCATCAATTGGCACCTGCCAATATTGTGCATATGGTGGACTGCAAATGGAATTGTTCACTATGAACTTATACCATCTGGCCAGACTATTACTGCTAATGTCTACAGTGACCAACTGCATTGAGTTCACCAATCACTTTTGAAAAAACCACCAGCTTTAGTGAACCATAAAGGCATTCTTTTCCTACACAATAATGCTATAGACATCATGTTGCGCGTGTGACCTCTAACACAATTTAGACCCTTTGATGGGAACCTCTTTTGCACCCTCCTTATTTCCCTGACATTAGCCCTTCTGACTATCACCTATTTTTAAGCCTAGATAATCATCTGCGAAATTGACAGTTTAGAAATAGAGAGGTTATAGAAACGGAATTAGGGAAGTTTTTCAACTCTAAAAATCGTGACTTTTATAAAAATGGAATTTATAAGCTTGTTTCCCGTTGGGAACAGGTTATTGAATGTGAGGGTGGTTATT